TTCTGCGTTTCTGTCTTCTTGCATGTGTGTGTGTGTGGGCTGGGTAGGGAATGTTGATGGTATCACTGAGGTATTCTTGGGGTAACGATCTAGGATGCACCTGCTCTTCATTTCTTGACTCCACCACTTACTAATTCTTTACTTACAAATAGAAAATTACTTAGAGCAGCAGATACTACCCGACTTTTTATTGGTGTTCTTTATACTGGCAGATATTTAGCAAGTACTTTTCTCCTTTCTCTTAAAATAAACTTTCAAAAATAATCCCTGATACACAAACACTCAGTAAAACTTAAGCTAAAGATCTCAGTATTAATGCCCACTATAAACAGTAGTGGCTGGTGGAATTAGAGGTAAGCTTAGTAGAACTAGCCTAAAAACTTGTATTCTTTTCCTCCATGAATTAAATGATTCTCTTATTCTGTGTGGTTCATTATAGAACATGAGGCATACTATACTGGAAGGGCATCAGGCTAAAAAACTATATGGTCTTAAGATCATTGGGTAATTTCTTGGGGCCTTGTTTCCTCCTCTGTGTGATAGAACTAATATATAATGAGTTACCTGTCCAGCCTACCTCACAGGGTTGTTGTGAGGATAAAATGAGAATGATAATTATGAAACTGGCTTTAAAAAAATTAAAGTGTGTATATAAACGCAAGGTGGTATTTTTGTTCTTACAAAAGTTACCTCATAGGTAACTTAGGTTCATGAGCTCAAAATATTTTAGAATCCTTGCATATTAGAAATGTAAAAATGGTCTGGCCCAGCAAAAGTGTTCACTAGTTCATCTTGCCTACAGGCCTTTCAGCCTGTACCACAGACAGAACACTATGGTCTCCGTTCTTTCTTATTGGCCTGCAACAGTGACTCTGGATCACCAAGCAGTTGGCTGGCTATTGCAAGGCTGGTTAATAGGATCTTTTATCTATTGAAGACAGCAAAGTATTGCACAAGAGGAAGGAGCTGGGCTGCAGGGAGAGAGCAGCAGATGGAAAGAAGCCTGATTGTCCTGATCTCATGGAAAACAGCTGTCAGGAGGTGCTAGGGAACTAGTGCCAGGGTCAGTCTGCAGGAAAGGCCTTTCTTATAGGGACCAACAGCTGGACAGGTATGTTAGCCAAGAACCTCACTATCCAATTCCCTTTCTAACTTTCCCACCTTTAGTTTACTCTTCCTGTTCCTTTGCACATGATTTGGGCCTGGGTGGTATGACTAACAGTCATTCTGTGGGACCCCAGGTGAATTCCAAGGACCTCTGTGATGGTCATGATCCAGATAATCTGTCCTACATTTCCTCTCACAAACTACGAGGTGTTTTTTTTAGCTACTCTGTGGGAAGAAAGAAATATGCCCCCTCGTCCCTCTGAAGTTTTGTGCTGATTTTTTTTTCCCCTCTCCCCCACTAAACCAAATCCCTGCATTCCTGTTGCACCTTGTCTCTTAACTCTTAACCAGCTTATTCATACCCTCTTTCTTTCTCTGCTGTCATCTAGGATGGGGGCACCAGAGGACGCCGCTGTGCCATTGAAGCAGACATGAAGATGAAAAAGTGAAGCCTCAAGAGTGTTCTCTTTGAGCTAAACCTGAAATAGAAGTAAACAAGATAGAGCTTGGGCTTGTGGGCCCTGTTCCAGAACTGGGAATTACAGAAGAGGAGGCGCCCGGGCTGCATGACATGAGCTGGAAAAATCTCTCTCAGAGAGTTGGAAGTAACACATTTGCCTGTTTTAGGGCAAAAATCGTGGGCTGTGTTAATGCCCTCATGTGTAGCTAGCAGATTGTAGCTAGTTTGTACTGTCTTGTGAAGTGTACAGACTTTTTAAAAATAAATCTGTGAAGTGCGTGTGTATACAATAAAATGAAAAAAAAAAAATCTCTGGCCTTTGGGGTGTCTTTTGTGCGTGTGCGTGTACGTGTGTGTGTGTGTGTGTGTTGTGTTTGAAGCTTGTGGTTTCTTCTACATTATCACTGTTTACTCATTTGTGAAAATGAGATTGTCAGGGGAAAGTGGTCTTATGAGCTGCCTGCTGCAGCCAAGAAAAGGTAAGTAACCAAGATGAAACTAATAATGTTTTAAAGTATTGTGCAATAAGGACTGTCTTACTCAGCTTTTCTTAAATGTTAGGGAAATTAAGGGTTATCAGAGATCTGTTCATGGCATCGCTTGAAGATTAATAAGATTGTAGACAGAGGTAGCATTGACCTTTATCTCAATGACATTGTGTCATTTAACACTCTTCACTGATGTTTCTAGGGTATTATCATTTTCTCCTCTTTTTTTTTTTTTTGTCAATGGACCTTTATTTAATTAATTTATTTTTGTATTGTACGTGGTGCTGAGGATTGAACCCAGTGCCTCACACATGCCAGGCAACACTCCATCACTGATCCACAGTCTCAGCCCTCCTCTTTATTTCTATGTGTAGAACTATAAGAGTTTTTGTTTTGCTTTGTTCTTTTTATTATTATTATTTTTTATTATTATTTTTAGTTGTAGAGGAACACAATATTTTTTGTTTATCTTATTTGGTGCTGAGGATTGAACCCCGGGCTCACACGTGTGAGGCAAGCACTCCACCACTGAGCTACCACCCCAACCCTTGCTTTATTTTTATTGAGAAAGGATCTCACTTTGTTGCCCATGTGGGTGTGAATTCACAATCCTCCTTAGCCTCCCAAGTAGTGCACCACTGCACCCGCAGGGTTCTTTACATTGTTCTTGGAAGGCTAACCTCAGTTTAAGAATTACCAATGTTGGGCTGGGGATGTGGCTCAAGCGGTAGCGCGCTCGCCTGGCATGCATGCGGCCCAGGTTCGATCCTCAGCACCACATACAAACAAGGATGTTGTGTCCGCCGAAAAACTAAAAAATAAATATTAAAAAATTCATTCTCTCTAAAAAAAAAAAACAATTACCAATGTTGAGCTGGGGTTGTAACTCGGGTAAATTACTTGCCTAGTGTGTGCAAGGCCCTGGGTTTGAGCCCCAGCATAGCACTGTAGTGTGTGTGTGTATTATTAGATACATATAATATGTATATATTTATAATTTTATATATATAAATACTATTTTTATATATAATGAAGCAAGAGGATCTCAAATAGCTCAGTGGTAGAATTCTTTGCCTAACAAGTGCAAGGACTTGGATTCAGTCCCAGCACTGCAGAAAACAAAAGATGGGGGGAGTAAAGGTGAGTAGGATGTTTTGTAGCACTTTATACCATCTTGAGAAAGATGAGTTTAAGAAAGATACAATTAGGACTGGGGATATGGCTCTGTGGTAGAATGTTTGGCATGCACAAATCCCTGTGTTCCATCCCCAGTACTGCCAAAAAAAATTAGTGTTTAGAAGTCACAGTTCTTTTCACCTTAAATAGAACTGTTTATAAAGCCTGTTAGAAAGATAAGCAAGTAGAAGATAGTCTTTATGAGACAATGGAAAAGAATTCAGTCCAGGAGTTAGAAAAATGTGAAATAAAGCCATCCAAACAGACATGTGATGTTACTGAAGCACTAAAAGGTGAAAAAGGTCTATTAAATAAAGAACATAGATTTAGGGTTGGTAGAAAAAGTGATGGATGAGATTAGGAAGCCGAGTTGAAGTTTAGGCATAGGTGGTGGGGGCAATAAAGTGATTAATTAGAACAGATCATTGTAAGAAAATACACCAGAGAGGGAAAAATAGGTCTATCTTAGGACTTTGGCCAATTGAGAAATTTATATTTGTGATTTCTAAAGCCTTTAATAAGGAGACTGTTGAGAGCAGATTGAATACAGAAAATGAAAGAAATGCATTTGTACAGCAACAAAGGCACAGAAGAATCAGTGGGGGCAAATTGGGAAGAGAATTTGCTTACTGAATACAAGAGAAGTGTTAAAACACAACAAGTTCTTATAGAGTAATAGTGTTGGTGATGGAAATAAGGAAGTTGGAAAGAACAAATTATTTTGGATTTAGGAAGAGGTGATTATAATTTTAGAAATGTGGAGTTGAAGCAGATAGTAGGGTATTGACTTAGATGCATAGAGAAATGAGATAAAAGTGCATATAATTAAAGATGGAGAGATTTGGAAATTACCTGAATAGAGGACAAAATTGGAAATTAAGTGTGTGTGTGTGATTTTTTTTTTTTTTTTTTTTTTGAGGTGTGATATGGAGGTTCAAACTCAGGGGCTCTTTACCACAGCCCATTTATTTTTAGAGCCTTGCTAAATTGCTGAGGTTGGCCTTGAACTTGTAGTTCTCCCTCTTCCACCTCAAGATGCTGGGATTACAGGCATGTACCACTGCAATCAGCTTCTGTATACATTTGTTGGTTGGTTGGTTGGTTGGTTGGTTGGTTGGTTGGTTGGTTGGTTGGTTAGTACTGGGGATTGAACCCAGGGGCACTCAACTACTGAGCCACATTCCCCAGCCATTTTTATTTTTTATTTAGAGAGAGGATCTCACTGAGTTGCTTAGTCCTCACTAGGTTCCTGAGGCTCACTTTGAACTCCCAGTCCTCCTGCCTCAACCTCCTGAGCTGCTGGGATTATAGGTTTGCACCACTGCACTTGGCTCTATATACATTTTTTAATGGAAGTATTAAGGAAGCAGAGAACCAAGCAAAAACATAAAAGAAAAGCCTGTATTTAAAGTTGTAAAAGGGAGAAGACAAATCTAAAAAATTTTCTAAAGCCAGGATAGTGTAGTACAATGAACAAGGGAAGATAGCATTAAAACTTGATGTTTCTGTTTTTACTATGAAAAATGATAGTTGGATATGACCAAAAGTGAATTTTAAGGATGTGATGGTTAATAGGTTATGTATTTGCTGAGGAATGTACCTCTTGTTCCCTCAAATTTGATGCCTTTTAGCTGAATTTATGGGTTATTTGGGATAAAGGAAGTCTGTTAAGCTAACTGTGTCTAGTTCTTTCCCTTCTTACGGAGTATGAGGAAATCCAAGTAAAAAACATTATTGGGTAATGTGTATTATATTGACATGAAGCTTTTTCTTATTTTAAAAGATTATTTCATTTCTTAATGTTTCCTTTCTGCTAGTTTTTGTACTTCCTGATAATGAATAGAGAAAAAATTCTGGCCCCTTGTATTTCTACTGAACTTGGAAGATGGAGATGCCTTAGGGATATTATTTGAATAAATTTAATGCATTTTTGTTCTGTGTATTTACAGATGGGGCGTGAGTGGGTTTGGTTGGATTCTGAACAAGACTATCCCAATGACTCTGAGTTGAGCAACGACTGCAGGTCCCTCTTCAGTTCATGGGACTCCAGTCTGGATCTTGATGTGGGCAGCTGGAGGGAAACTGAAGATCCAGAGGCTGAGGAACTAGAGGAAAGCAGCCCAGGGAGAGAAACTAGTGAGCTGCTTGTGGGAGATGCAGGCAGTGAAGAATCTCAGGAAGAGGCAGAGCAAGTCAACTGCCAGAACCTCCTCCATTTTCTTTCTGAGGTAATAGTGGGCATTAATTCCAAAGCCAAAAGAACATCAAATTTTTAAGAGAATGCTCACCCTTACATGTAGCTACCTTTCTCCATATTTACTAAAATATGAGGCCCATAGTGGCAATGACTAAGCTAATTGTTGTGTCCCCTGCACTTGGTGCTGATACAGAATATGCACCAAATATAGTCTTTAGGGCGCTAAAATCAAAGGAGTGGAATTTCTATATGTAAGACTGCCTTATGAGAATCCTTGCAATTTATTCTTTTTAAAAAAAATTTTTTTGGGGGGTGAACCTGGGACTGAACTCGGGTGTTCAACCACTGAGCCACATCCCCAGCCCTATTTTGTATTTTATTTAGAGACAGGGTCCCACAGAGTTGTTGAGCACCTGCCTTGCCATTGCTGAGGCTGGCTTTGAACTCGTGGTCCTCTTGCCTCAGCCTCCCCAGCCACTGGGGCAATTCATTCTTTAAGAGTCATGAGAAGTTATACTCGACAAAACTCTCCTTGAAGCTTAAAATATTATAATTTAAGGCAGTCCCCCCACCCCCATACTAGAAATTGAACCCACGGGCACTCTACCGCTGAGTTACTCTACAGCCCTTCCCCTAACCCTCATTCCCAGAGACTGCATCTCACTAAGTTGTTGAGGCTGACAAACTTGAATTTGCAATCCTCTTGCCTTAGCTTCCTGAGTCACTGAGATTACAAGTGTGTACCATTGTGCCTGGCTGCAAGTCAGAATTTTAAAGGGTTCTTATTAACTTGATACAGAGATAAGGACAAGAAATATATTGATAAGAAATATAGGGCTGGGAATGTGGCTCAAACGGTAACGCACTCGCCTGGCATGCACGGGGTGCAGGGTTCGATCCTCAGCACCACATACAAATAAAATAGAGATATTGTGTTCACCAGAAACTAAAAAAAATAAATAAATATTTAAAAAAAGAAATATAATTATTTGGACAAAAGAATTTATGCTACAACTGAACACAGGATGAGCAAGGATCTAGTTCAGATGTTGCCACTTGTCTCTGTTGAAGTCTGTAGCAAACACATTTTTCAAGTTTTCTAGACAGCAAGTCCCAATTGATCAAAACTGAAAATTGAGAACATAAGCTCCTTGAAGATGCATGAACTGTATCTTTCTTGTTTACTATAGCATCCCTAGCAACTAACCCAGTGCCTATGTATACATTTGATAGGTTTGATTTCAAACCTATCTGCCATCTCAAGCATAATCACAGTGTCAGTGTAAGCATATGCCATTACTGATGTGTGGATAATTTGCATGGAGTTTCTGTACACTTTGATTACAGGTTGCTTATTTAATGGAGCCATTGTGCATTAGCAGCAAAGACTCAAGTGAAGGCTGCTATCCTCCATCTGGTACCAAACAACAAGAGGGAAGGGAAATTGAAGCCACTGAAGGAGAAGGGAATCCCTGCAGAGAAACTGAAGAGCCTTTAGCCAAGGTAGAACCTTTAATAGCTGAAAAAAGGCTGCAGGGAGAAAATGGAAAGCCTGAGGTGGTTCCTGTTCCCTCAGATATTAGTGCGATTCAGGGACTACCCACAGAGAGTGAAGAGGTAAGTAAATAATTTAAATCAGCTGTCTGGTTGGTCTTCAAGGGGAGGTAGAGCAGAGTGGTTAGAGCTCGTAGGTTAACTGCAGAGGTTTATAACTACCTGGTCCAAATCCTGGTTTTAGTACTACTTTTAGCTGTGTGTTCTTCGGCATATCACCACATATTTTAGAACCTCAGTTGTCTCTACTCCAAATAGGATAATGTGTTCTATTTTGTAGGTTTGCTGTGAGATTTAATTTTTTATTTATTTATTTTTTAAATATTTATTTATTTATTTTTTTTAGTTATCGGCGGGCACAACATCTTTGTTTGTATGTGGTTCTGAGGATCGAACCCGGGCCCCACGCATGCCAGGCGAGCGCGCTACAGCTTGAGCCACATCCCCAGCCCCTGCTGTGAGATTTAAATGAAACAGTTCACCCAGTGTCCTAGCTGAGTTCAGGAGTTTGAGACCAGCCTGGGGGACATTATCTTGCCAGTGGTTGTGGTGCTGCATGCCTGTAATCCCAGCTACTTTCGAGGCCCAGGCAAGGGGATTGCAAATTCAAGGTCAACCTGGGCAATTTAGAATCTGTCTTTTAAAAAAAAGGATTAGGAATGTAGCTCAGTGGTAAAGCATCCCTGAGTTCAATCCCAAGTACCAAAATAAAAACAAAACAAAATTTTATACATATAAAAATATATAAAAAAATCTGGCCAGCTATAGTTGTTACTCCAGGGCCCACAGATTCTATTGATAATTTCAAAGAGTACAGCATCCAACTAAAACTGAGTAAATATTGTTTTTTCATTTGGGGGTTGAGGAGGCAGAGTTAAAATTCTCTAGCAAGATACTTACTAAGAATTTATTGATTTAGGTCTAGTTAAGTCGGCTTTCTCTAATTTCTTTTATAGCTTTATAATAATTTGCCTTTTCTCACCTTAAGTTTAGCCTTATTTTATTCTGTGCAAATAAAATTACCACACAAATAGTAAAAGTTTCCTTAAATTCTCAGGGTGAGGTTCAGCTAGAATCCAAAGAGGAGGATCAAGGTGAAGGGTATGCTTCAGAGATGGAAGACCAGCCCCCTTCAGGAGACTGTGATGATGGCTTCAGCATTCAGGAAACTCCCCTTGTGGATATCCTCCTCAGTCATGCAAACTCCTCCAAACTGTAAGTATAGATCTGAGGGAATAGTTCAGTAGTAGAGAATTTGCTTAACATGTTTGAAGCTCTTGGTATGATGCCCAACATTATACAAACAAATTAAAAAAAAAAAAAAACCCTATAAGTAGAGATTTTTATCCAAGATTAAGATTCATACTTTAACTTCTGTTTATTATTCCTATTTAAATATGTTACAATGAAATGAGTTACTTTTATAAGTTAAAAAAAAAGAAAAACACTGTGAATTAAATATGTTTGTTGGATTTTTGTTTTGTTTTGTTTTGTTTTTGTTAGGTTTGAGGAAAGGTCTTCTTATATTGCCTAGTCTGGCCTGGAATTCCTGGACTCAGAAATTCAGGCATGTGCCACTGCACTTAGGTTCTATATACATTTATTGGTTGGTTGGTTGGTACGTACTGGGGATTGAATGCAGAGGCACTCAACCACTGAGCCACATTCTCCAGCCATTTTTATTTTTTATTTAGAGAGAGGGTCTCACTGATTTGGGCTCCCTGTTCTGATAGAGTTCTACAAATAATAGCATTTGTACTGGGCATGATGGCACATGCCTGTAATCCCAATGACTCAAATATAATTTTGGGGGATACCTGGAATTGAACTCAGGGGTGCTTAACCACTGAGCCAAATCCCCAGTCCTTTTTTGAATTTTTATTTAGAGATAGGATCTCATTAATTTACTTAGGTCTTGCTAAGTTGCTAAGAATGGTTTTGAACTCATTATCCTTCTGCCTTACTTTCTGAGCTGCTGGAATTATAGGCGTGTGTTACCATGCGTGGCACCAAATGTAAATTTTAACATCATATAAATATAGATCTATAGGCTCTCCTATTATAAAACAAGTCTGATTCATCAACATTGAGTGTCCTTTAATTCTTCATTCTTAATTACTAGGCTTCATTTGTTCAGGAAAGATTGCTCAGTCAGAATGTTTCTTAAATCTATTGCGGGGTGCAGTACTAGAGACTAAACCCAGGAGTACTCTACCACTGAGCTACATTCCCAGCATTTTTTTAATTTCAATTTTTAAATTTTGAGATTGGGGGGTGGTTCTCACTAAATTGCCTAGGCTAGGTTCAAATTAGTGATCCTCTTACTTTAGCCTCCTCAGTAGCTGGGATTACAGGTGTGAGTCACTATAGTAATCATATAATCTTTATTAGAAAGCAATAGATACTAGTTTCCATATTTACTTGGCATGATACCTTAAGGGGAGATTAAAAAGGTGATTTTTGTTTGTTTGTTATTGGTAGGGAAGCGTAAAACTACTTTAAAAGAAGACATTCAGTCAGAGGTGGGGAGTGGAATATAGTTATCTAGTAGAGTGCTGCTTACCTAGCATAGCCAAGGCCTTGGGTTCAATCCCCATCACTGTAAAAAATAAATGAATAAATCTCTAGAGCCTTCTTCTTAGGTACTTCCCTTGGTCTGTACTGATCTGTCAAGAAGAAAAGAAGAGTCTTTGGAGCACCATTCCCAGTCCGAAGGATCTTTCCAGTCTCACTTTTATTTTACTATCATTGCTTGGCATTCATTCCCATAAAGGTAGGCAAGGAATTTCTACAACAAAGTTGTGATTATGAAGTTACAATCCTAGCGTAGTGCTTTTCGTATGGTAGGTACGTTAAAGGTCTGTTATATGGATATGTGAATGAAGTTATACCACCAGTACCAAGGAGAAAATATTCATTCTGTTGAGTGACCAGAAACAAAGAAGTTTGTTTTGGGCTCCCTGTTCTGATAGATTTCTACAAATAATAGCATTTATACTGGGAATGGTGTAATCCCAATGAATCAGGAGGCTGCAGGAGAAGGATTGCAAATTTGAGGCCAGACTCAGCAATTTAGCAAGACCTGTGTCTCTAAATAAAATATAAAAAGTGCTGGGATTATGGCTCAGTGTTTAAGTGCCTTTGGGTTCAATCCTCAGTATTAATAATAATAATAATAATAATAATAATAGCATTTTCTTGGCATGATGCGTTCTGTAATCCCAGCTACTCTTGAAGACTGAGGCAAGAGGATCACAAGATTAACCAAGGTCAGTGTGGACAATTTAGCAAAACCCTGCATCAACATTTAAATTTTTTTTAATTAAAAAATAAAAGAGGGTTGGGATTGTGGCTCAGCGGTGGAGTGCTGGTCTGGCACATACAAGGCCCTGGGTTCAATCCTCAGTACCACATTAAAAAAATGAATAAACAAAATAAAGGTATTGTGTCCAACTACTTCTAAAAAATAAATAAATATATGTATTTATAAATATATTATTTATATATATATAATATATATATAAAAAAGATTGGGATGTAGCTCAGAGGTATAGCGATTAGCCCTAGTTCAATCCTGAGTACCACCAAAAAGAAAAAGAAAAAGAAAAATTGAACCAGTACTCTTCTAAATAGGCTGGGAATATAGCTCAGTTGGTAGAGTGCTTGCTTCATATGCACAAGGCTCTGGGTTCACATCCCCAGCACCACAAACAAAACAAATAAATAAATAAAATGAGACAGTTTAGCTCAGAGAAGGAAGGAAAAATGGTTTTGTCTTAGGTGTTTTAAAGATCACTATACAGGGGAAAGTGAAAAAGAAAATTACTTAAATTGTTATTTGGTATGTGAAGTAAATATTTCTTTCTTTGGAAATATGGGAGAGGTTGTATTAGTGTGACATATTTCTGCATAAAAACAGGACCAGACTAACTTATCAAATACCTACTGAGCACCTACTATGTGCCATGTTCTGTCACAGGCACTTGGGAAACATTGAACAAAGACTGCTTTCAGCCTGGCATGGTGGTGCATGCCTGTAAACCCAGCAATTTGAGATGCTGAGTCAGGATGATTGCAAGTTCAAAGCCACCCTCAGCAATTTAGGGAGATCTAGTCTCAAAAATTAAAAAGGGCTGGGGATGTAGCTCAGTGATGGAGCACCCTGGGTCCAATCTCCAGTACCAAAAAAAAAAAAAAAAAAAGCGTTATCCTAGATCAGTTCTTTAAAGTCATGGCTGCTACAAAACAAATCTTCAAGAGTAGTAGAAAAGGTGGGGCTGGGGTTGTGGCTTGGTGGCAGAGTACTTGCCTTTCACATGTGAGGCACTGGGTTTGATCCTTAGCACCACATAAAAGTAAATAAAAATATTGTGTCCGTGTATAACTAAAATTATATTTTTTAAAAAAGTAGAAAGAGTAGAAAAGGTTCCAGGCATGGTAATGCACACCTGTAATTCCAGTGGCTCAGGAGGTTGAGGCAGGAGGATTGAGAGTTCGAAGCCATCCTCAACAACTTAGTGAGGACCTGAGCAACCCACTGAGACTCTGTTTCTAAATAAAATACAAACAAGGGCTAGGGATGCGGCTTAGTGGTTGAGTGCCCCTGGGGTCAATCCCCAGTACTCTCCCCTGGAAAAAAAAAAGGCATTAAATATATTTTTATTCCTGTGGTATTATATTCCTTCAGGTATTAAAATTAAGAGCACTATGCATTGAGAAAACCTCATCACTGGAGAGACAGAATACCATTTGTAAAGTTAACTATCTCTTTTCTGTCATGTTGTATCTTCTAGGACTGATCTAAGTCAAGGTGACCCTGTTCAGGATCATTTGCTATTTAAAAAAACTCTTTTGCCAGTCTGGAAGATGATTGCCAGTCACAGGTGGGTCTCCACAGTGGTAATAGGATTATGTTCAGAACTGAGGCATTAGCACGTTAGGTCTTAAGTATAAAAGGAGATATGTTTATCCCTCAAACAGGTCATAATACCTAAGACTCAGCTGCTTTTACTGGTCTGTACAAGAAATAGTTACTGCAGCTAAATTCAGTAGCCAAGCTGTGGAAACAACTTAGGTGCCCCTCAACAGATGAATGGATAAAGAAAATGCAGTATATATACACGGTGGAATATTACTCAACTATAAAGAAGAATGAAATTACGGCATTTGCCGGTAAATGGATGGAACTAGAGAATGTCATGCTAAGTGAAATAAACCAGTCCCATAAAACCAAAGGCTGAATGTTCTCTCTGATATGTGAATACTAACCCACAACAAGGAAGGATGAGGAGGGGAAGAATAGAAGTCCATTGTATGAGACAAAGGGGAATGAAGGGAAGGGGAGAGGGGAGGAGAATAGGAAAGACTGTAGAATTAATCAGACATAACTTTCCTGTGTTATATATGAATACATGACCAGTATAATTCCACATCATGTACAACCACAAGAATGGGATCTGATCCTAATTAGAATAAGTTATACTCCATATATGTATGATATGTCAAAATATGCTCTACGGTCATGTATATCTAAAAAGAAATAATAAAAATGTTGCTGTGCCATTTGAATTGTCTCCTGAAATTGATTTATATTACATGATATTTCGTACTTAAAATATGTATGCCTCCTTACAATATGACATATGGTAGATTCTTTTTTTTTTTTTAAACATATAAAGGCCCTCAGGAGCTTTGAACAAATTTCTGAGCTCTAAATTAGTATATTATAATAATAGTTAAATATTTCACTGTTTTTTTAAAACTGGCAAGAGGAAATGTATAGATTTAGATTTCTTTTTTCTTTTTTCTCCTTTTTTTTTTTTTTTTGGCAGTACTGGGGATTCAAACCAGGTGCCCCCAGTTCTTTTTGTTTTATTTTGAGACAGGGTCTCACTAAGTTACCCAGGCTGGCCTCCAACTTGCCATCCTCACTGAGATTTACAGGCATTCACAATAGATTTCCTCTTAATAGTGCTCAGTTTGCATTCCACTAAGGGAAATCTAACAAGAACTGAGCCTTAACTCTGTATTTTTAAGTAGTATTGTTCATAGCCACTCTTCTTATTTAGAGTAATTGCCAGGGTTTCTTCACTTTTTCTGGGTTTGTCCCTTAACAGGTTCAGCAGTCCATTTTTGAAGCCTGTGTCAGAAAGGCAGGCCCCAGGATACAAGGATGTGGTGAAAAGGTCAGTGGAAAAGGTGTCAAGAAAGGTTGGCTGCTTTTTTATATCTGTCTTTTCATTCTTTTCCCATCTGTTAGATTATTTCTTTATTTATATTACTTATAAATTACTTATAAATTCAATACACACACACACACACACACAATTTTTGTACCAGGAATTGAATCCAGAGGCGCTTAATCACCAAGCCACATCCCCCAGCCCTTTTAATTTTTTTATTTTAAGACAAGGTCTCTCTAAAGTAGCTTAGAGCCTTGCTAAGTTGCTGAGGCTGGCTTTAAACTTTCAATCCTCCTGCCTCAGCCTCCCGAGCCACAGGAATTTTAGGCTTGCACCACTGGACCCAGCAGACTCAACATATATTTTACAGCCAAACAAGTTTATAAAGTTAGGAGTTCAGTGTCTTCACTTGAGAAGTAATGCAAGTAAACTTTTTTTTTTTTTTTTGCAGTATTGACTTTTCAAGTAATATGATCCATTCATTATAGTCTTAAATTAGTCTTTGACTTTTTTTTTTTTTTGTGAATGTGTATGGTACTGGAGACTGAACCCAAGGGTACTCTAGCACTGAGCCACATTCCCAGCCCCTTTTTATTTATTTTTAAAATTTTGATACAGGGTCTAAGTTGCCAAGCCTGACCTTGAACTTTCAATTAATCCTCCTGTCTCAGCCTCCAAAACTTTAAGGCAATTAATTAGTTATAGGTATTCTGAGGCAAAAATATTAACCCAAAAAGAAGTTGCATACAAAGTTACAAACATTGGTTGAGTACAGTATTTTGAATTTTTTTTTATTTCTTACATACATGACAATAGTGGAATGCATTACATTCATAATTATCCATTCAAAGCACGATTTTTTTGTAACTGTATATAAAGTATGTTCATGCCAAATTATGCCATTATATGTGAACTCTCTTTTTTTTGCATTAAAATTCTTAGTACACCTTTATACCACAGTTTATCATATCTCTGTGTATAAGGTATGTTGACACCAAATTCACATCTTCTTACATGTATTTTGTATAATGATGACCATCACCTTCGACAATCCTTGCTACTCCCCTTCCCCCTCCCTTTCCCTAAAATGCTATTATAAAACAGTGTGGTAATAGAATATAAAAGATCATAGCTGAACCTTTAGTTCATTTGTAGTGCTAAAACAAAATACCTCAGATTGGGTAATAGAAGTTTATTTCTCATGGTTCTAGAGACTGGGAAGTCCTAGATGAAGATGCTGGCAGAACTGGTGTCTAGTAAGATCTCCTGTCTGCTTCCAAGATGGTACTTTCTTGCCTCACACATGTGAGGCACTGTGTTTAATCCTCAGCATCACATAAAAATTAATTAATTAATTAAAGGTATTGTGTCCATCTATAATTAAAAATATTTTTTTAAAAAGATGGTGCCTTGTTTCTATACACTCCTGAGAGGACAAATGGTTTGTCCTCATGTGGGGAAGGACAGTGATTATTGAAGACAAACTGAATACTGGAGCTCCTTACAGCCTTGATACCTGAGGCTGACTCTGTTCCTATAATAATTGAAGAGTGTCTTGGCCTGTGGACTTTGGAGTCAGGCTGCCTCTGAATTGGAGTCCAGAATGTGTTACTTTGGGCAAGTACTTAACCTTTTAAAGTTTCCCAATTTGCCCAACAAAGTTTAATAATAATCCTTTTTTTTTATTTTTTATTTTTTTTGGTACTGAGAATTAAACCAAGGGATATCTTACCACCAAAATACATCCACAGTCTTTCTTTTTTTCCTTTTTAATTTTTTTTTATCATAAGACAGGGTCTTGCTAAGTTACTTAATGCCTTGCCAACTTGCTGAGGCTGTCCTTGAACTTGCAGTCTTGCTGAGTTGCCGGGATTACAAGTGTGTATAACCACACTCAGCCCTGTTTTTGTTTTTAGATGGAGTCTTGCAGTTTTCCAGGCTGTCTCCATAATCCTCTTGCCTCAGTCTCCTGAATAGCTGATATTATAGGCACACACAATCATGCTTGGTTCTCTTGTCATTTGGGAGGCTGTTGCAGGAAGATCTACAGTTCAAGACCAGCCTTGGAAACAGTAAGATTCCATCTCCTGTTCCTCTTTCTCCTCCTCATCAGCATCATAACAACAGTAATAATACCTACATTATCTGTTTATTGAGAGGATTAATTTGTGATAGAATGTATCTATCATAGTGCTTGGCCTGTTGTAAATAGTCAGATGTTAGCTGCTGCTGCTATTTTATTATCTGATGGGCTTTATTATCTTTGCTACCATTTTTCATTATAGCCAGTTTGCTGGGTGCAGTTTCCATGCCTACCTCATAATAAAAATAATTAAAAAAGCTAAGAATGTAGAACAGTGGTAAAGTAATCTGGGTTCAATACCCAATATGAAAAATAAAAACAAAATAAAACAACAGTTATCTAAGAGAGCATGTTAGGTCACCACTTTTTACACATTACAGCTTGATTTTCTCTGGTTTCTCTTGGCCATCTGCAGACCCATGGACTTAACTAGCCTGAAGAGGAATCTGTCTAAGGGGCGGATTCATACCATGGCCCAATTCCAGCGGGATCTGATGCTGATGTTCCAAAATGCTGTGATGTACAATGACTCTGATCATCATGTATATCATATGGCTGTGGAGATGCAGCGTGAAGTCTTGGAACAAATTCAGGTACTACATGGAGTGAGCTGCAAGGAAAAGGTGCACAGCCTCTGGAATCTGATTTTGAAAAGTTTATAAGAATGAGGGTGATGTTGAGGTGATTCAAGGACCTTAAGGATTGATGATTGAGCCTGATGATTTGGAAAACTCTGAGACTCAATAGGTCCATCTTTAATACATAGTGAAATGAAGTAGTCTATAAAGGTAGGTAGCAAGAAAGCTGGAGATGGACAAGTAATAGGACTCTTACTTCCAGAGAAGCTTCAAATCAGAGGGCTAAAAATGTAAACTACAGTCGCTGTCCATTTTTTGGTTGCTTAATCTGTTGATATTATTGTACATTCACACTTTCTCATCTTTAGAGGATTAGACATAGTAGCTTCAAAGGAACATTTGAGCTATGCAAAGGGTTGCATGCTTATAATCCCAGCTACTCAGGAGGCTGAGGCAGGAGGATCACAAGTTTGTCGCCAGCCTGGTCAACTTAGTGAGAAGAGACCCTGTCTCAAAATGAAAATTTTAAAGGGCTGGAGATGTAACTCAGCAATAGAGCACTTGCCTAGCATGCATGAGGCCTAGGTTCAATCACTAGTACCACAAAAGGGAAAAAAATTTTTTTTGCCTGTTTCTTTTCTGGGCAGCATCATACTTTAAAGAAAAAAAATGTAGTTGGATCTATTTGCCAAAAAAGAAAATTGCATTCAATTCTTTGTAGCTTCTAAGATTCATAGCTTACTATCTATGCCTTGACTCTGTAGGTGCTGAGTATTTGGTTAGACAAGAGAAGAGACTTAAGTAATCTGGAATGAGTGCCAGCCAACCCAGTGGATGATGGAAATCTGTTTTGTTAACCTGGAGCTGCTACCCTGACCCTTTCTGGAGTTTGGACCTCTCTTTGAGACTCTGACCAGAGATCTCAGGGCTTGTTTTCCACTTCTCTGTTGTCTTTTCTAATAAGAGTAATGCTTTTATCTAACAACCATGGAGTCCACACTGTCTTTGGGTCTAATATTTTTAAAAGGGGGGGGGGGGTGTTGAGATTTGGATTTATGCCATAAATGTTGCACATATTTTTGTTCCAAAGGATTCATTTAGGGGCAATTAGATTAAACCTTAACTACTTCTCTATAAATAAATATTTCTCAAACCAAAGGTTGCTTTTTAATGATTTCAGAAGCTGGAAATAGAGGGAGGTACTTCATGTAGTGAAATAAGTAAGATATCTGGTCTTTTTACATTGGCTGTCCAGAAGGGAATGGGACTGGCTAAGGGGAGCATTTATGATTTGTCTGATTTATAAAGAGGGGATATCAAAGGATCCTTCAAATGGGTCCGGGTGGGTGAGAAATTATGAATAAAATGTCTAGTGCTTTAAGACTCACAAGGGAAAAACTATAAAACAACAACACTGTTACTGATTCCATTGGTTCAGAATCCTTCAGGGGGCTGGAACATATGTGTAGCTCAGTGGTAGGGCCTGTGCTTAGCATGCAGGGTGCCTTGGGTTCAATCCCTAGCCCCAACCACTCCCCAACCCTCAAAGAAAAAGAACCGATCAGAGGCTTGTGAAGTGCCTGCTTGGATTGGCCCTCAGCAGCCACCGTTGGCAAGCCGGGACTTCAGGTCTCCTAGCAACAAGTTTGTGTGGCGGCAGAAGGGTGTTCACCAAGGCGAGCGCTCGGAAAGTCTATCCTGGACAGTACCAGAGGACTTGGGGATCCAACTTTTCACTCACGCTTAACCCTGTATGTAGAGTGGTCTTGGTAGGGCGGGGTCTTTTAAGGCAGTTGGCTGGAACCATTCCCCTCAATGAGTGGTGAGCTGCGTGGCCGACCAGTCCTCCTCCCCAGCTACAGCGGCCTCCAGGTGTCTGGTCTAGTATCAGGCCTTTAGGTCATCCCTTGGCCTCTGATCTGAGAGCTCTTGATCCTCCCTTCCTTGATGAAAGCATGTAGGAAAACCCAAGGCTTGACTTGGGCACAGTAGAAATTTATATTGTCCAGACTGTTTGTAGAAAAACATGGCAGTTCTCCCTTTATAAATTAATTAAATCTATCACCTAATACTACTATTCTTAATTAAAGTTATGTTGTATTTGGGGTGGGGGGATGTATGTCATTGCAGTTGATATCTGTCAAGAAACTTCTAAATTGTACCCAGAAAAGCCAGAATGGAGATATCAATGCCCCCACCTCAGATATATGTAGAAAAAACTCTGGCTATTATCAAACCAGATATTGTTGACAAAGAGGAAGAGATACAAGATATTATTCTAAGATCTGGATTCACAATTGTTCAGGTAACTTCTGGTCATGATCATGCTTTTTAAAAAATCTTTGACACCCCCTCCCTTTAAATGTTTATGTAAATGTGCGGTACTACCCATTTAGAGCCTTAGTGTTAAGCATTAAATTTAGCTTTATTTTTCTAAATATAAAAATGATATGTGACAGTTAAGTTTTTGTCACAGTTCAAGTGGAAATAAAATGAAAAGTAAATCGCTTTTTCCTTCACCTTCCCATCTCCCACCCCACATCCCAATCTCCAGAGAGAGACAACCACTTAACACTTTCTGGTCTTCCAGGAGTTATCTATGTGTTTAAAAACTTTTTTAAGAATTATTTTTAGTTGTAGATGAACACAATACCCTTATTTAATTTATTTTTTTTAACATGGTGCTAAGGATCAAACCCAGTGCCTCACATATGCTAGGCAAGTGCTGTACCACAGAGCTACAACCCCAGCCCCACAAACATTTTCCCAGCTGTTCCATCCCCTGTGCCCCTTTACAAAATCCCTTAGATAACATTCAGATTACATCCGAATCTATCTTATCCTTTCTAATTTAGGTGTAATATTTGCCCATACAGTTAATTTACTTGATTCTCTATGGATGGTTTTTAAATTGTTGCTATTTTTTCAATTATTATAAACATTTAGTATTTTACACCTTACATTTGTTTTACAGTATTCTAGAGGTTTGAAAATGAATATAAAATGTAGGGGCTGGGATTGTGGCTCAGTGGTAGAGTGCTCCTCTAGCATGCTGATCCTCAGCACCACATAAATATAAAATGAAGATATTGTGGTCACCTAAAACTAAAAAATAAACATTTTTTTAAAATGTAAAAATTATCAAATAGAATTGAATTTGGGGGGAGGGAGTACCAGGGATTGAACTCAAGGGCACTCAACCACTTAGCCACATCTCCAGCCTTTTTAAGTATTTTATTTAAGACAGGGTCTCACTGAGTTGCTTGCCCAGCAGAATTGAATAGTGTGTGTGTGTGTGTGTGTGTGTGTGTGTGTGTACGTGCTTGTATGTATGGTGCTGGGGATTGAACCCAGGGCCTTTTTCATGTGAGGTAAGCACTCTACCAACTGAGCTGTATCCCCAGCCCAGAATTGAATAATTTTAACTTGTCCTCTTTTTACTAACTTATTTGAATTTCTAGTATTTTATTCTTTTTTAAAAAATATTTTTTTAGTTGTAGATGGACACAATACCTTTATTTATTTATTTATTTTTATGTGGTGCTGAGGATCGAACCCAGTGCCTCACACATGCTAGGCAAGCACTCCACCACTGAGCCACAAACCCAGCCCCTAGTATTTTATTCTCTTACATGTATGTATATGGTACCATAGTGCTTATTTAGTTAGTATTTTAAGAATAAAAAAAACTTCAGTTGTCTGTTCAGACATGTGATTTCAGTTGAGCTTTCATGGATAGGTGAGGGCTGAGCATAGGAATGGTACAAGAAAGTGTAGGGACATATTTAATATAATTAAAAGATTCAGTTGGCACAGTGGCATATGCCTGTAATCCCAGTGAATTGGGAGGCTGAAGCAGAAGGATCACCAGTTCAAGGCCAGTCTGGGCTGTTTAGCAAAACTGTGTCAAATAAAAATAGAAAGGGCTCAGTGTTAGAGAGCTCCTGGATTCAGTTCCCAATACTCTACACACACACACACACACAAAAAAAAGAAAAAAAAAAACCTCCTAAAAATCAGTTTGTGTGTTTGTATATCACTTGGTTTAGTTAGCAGTAAGTTTCAGACAAAAGCAGCCATTGTATATTTTTTGCTTTTCCCTTTCAGTACTGGGGATTGAGTCCAAGGCACTCAACTATTGAGCTACATTTCCAGCCCTTTTATTTTTATGTTGAGGTTCTTTTTTTTTTAACTGTATCCAGCTTTATTAAAGATACTTTTTATAAACAATCATAGTATTTCAGGCAGGACATGGGCAGACAATCGTTAACAGTATACAAAAACTTTCAAACTCCCTTTGGACTACCAAAATCAGAAAGCCACTATAAAACCCAATGAAGTCTTCATTTGATGCTCTGAATAGGGAAAGTTTAGAGTGAGGGTTGACATTTCACATTTAGCATGTTGTTTAACAACAACTTTTCACAAGCCGACCCTGACTTTCAGGAAATGAAAGGAAAATGGCAAAAATTATTAATCTGAAGATCCACAATCTAGAAAAGGAACTGCTGCTCTTCTGAGGGACACTATTCTCAATGATGTCACTGGAAAGTCCAGATTGCCCCACACACTGATAATCACACTGGAATCAGGTCCCAACAGGTCTGAGTTTAGGGGAGTTAAGTCTATGCCGATGACAGGGACATGAGGACATACAGATGAGTCTGAGTTTTTCCATACCACAAGTCATTTGTGTCAAGGTGGCTATGTGTGCCAACATCAGGGAATCCCTTCCTCTTGGGAACAAAGAGGAAGTCTCTCAAAACTAGAAGGGAAAGGTGTTTTCCCCCACAGCAATCCAGCTTTGGAGACATTCTACTAGTGACATATGCTCCTTCCCCCAAAAACAACAATGAAGTGTTCTGTGTGCTAACAACATAGCTTAAAAAAAAAAAAAACAGAATTCTGCATTTTTATAAAACTTGATAAAAAATAGTATTTCAAACTGTACAGTCACCAGAAGTACACAGTTATCAAAAACGCACACACTTCACTTGGCATCTCCAGCACCTTCAGTTTTCTGTGCCTGGTCTGTTTTGGCATCTCCATTTTCTTCAGGGTTATTCCCATCCTTGCCAGTGTCAGCTTTTCCCTTTTTCCCTTTGGGTACCTTCTCTCCCTTCTTTGCAGGGGCCTTTTTAGGCTTGGGCTCTGGCTTTGGAGGAGCAGGTTTGCCAGACAACCTTGCAGATCTTCTCTGTGGTTCATCTTTCACCTTGGCTTTATCTCCTTTAGCATCCCTTTCAACCTTTCTCTTGGGCATAGTGGTGACGGTGGCAGGACGCAGGCGCTGGACTTGGGGATGCAGCGGCGCTCTGCTTTGGTCAGTCCGGGTCGTTCTGGCCTTTTTCTTCTTCCTGTTTTGAGGTTCTTAATAAGTTGCTGAGGCTGGCCTTGAACTTGATCCTTCTGCCTCAGCTTCCCCTGGGCTAGGATTATAGGCATGCCATCTTACCCAATAAGCCATGGTGTATTGTATGTTGCTGTTACTGCTGCTGCTTTGTTTTTCTTCTTTAATTGTGGTAAAATATACATAATAAAATGTACCATTTTAACATTTTTCTTTCTTACACTGGGGATTGAACCCAGAGGTGCTCTACCACTGAGCCACATCTTCAGCCTCTTTTTAGGTTTTTTTCTTTTGATACAGGATTTCACTAAATTGCCTCAAATTTGTGATCCTCCTGCCTCCCTCCTGATTTACTGGGATTACAGACATGAGCCGCCATGTCCAGCTCATTTTTAAGGGTACAACTTTTTTTTTTTTTGGTCCTGGGGAGTGAACCCAGGGGCACTTTACCAATAAATCCTAGTCTTTTTTATTTTGAGGCGGTGTCTTGCTAAATTGTGTAAAGTTTTGCTGAATTGCTGAGGCTGATCTCAAAATTTCAATCTTCCTGAATCACTAGGGCCACAGTCATGAGCCAGCACACCTGGAAAGGGTTCATTTAAGTGCCATTAAATACATTCACATTGTGTAAATATCACCATCACCCATCTCTGGAACTAAAACTACTCATTAAAAAATAACTCCTTGTTCCCTCTCTCCCATCCCCTGGTAACTGCTATTCTAGTTTCTATCTCTAGGAATTTGACTATTCTAGCTATTTCATGTAAGTGAAATCATACAATATTTGTCCTTTTGTACTGTATGCTTTTAAAAATAGACTTTCTTGGAGTTAGGAGTCCATTGAATTTGAGGCTTTCCTGTTCTATTTGGGAAAGATTTCTGAAAAATTATATATCTTCTTCTCAGTAGGTGGCAGTCTTTCCTTTGTTTCGAATTAAGAGTTCTGTACTGGTTGTAATTGATATTACTGCTTCTCTTTTTTTGTCAACCTAATTTCAAAAAATTTCACCTGATTTAATTTTAAAGCAAACAATGGCATACTGGTTCAGTATCAACTTTAAAGATGGACCTTATTTTTTTAAATGATGCTATATTGCTTATTGACTTCTACTTATGGACACAATATTTTCTAGCAGGAAACCAAGGGGAAAATTTCCTTAGAGCTTCCTTACACTTAGTATTCACTTAGCTCTTACATTCAAAGCTTATTCAAATGCATAAGAAACTACTGCAGAAACAAAAATGTTGTATTCACTTAGGAATCTAAGTTTAAAAATTACATCCCTGTATCAGTCTGATACCTTTTTTGTGGTAGCAACTGCACATGATTTTATGTTTTATACAGGATTACCCATGCGAAAGGTCAAAGGGTTGTATTGTCACATTTCAGCTCCATGTACCACCATGAGTTTGAGTTTATTTATCCAGAAAATAACTAGAAATGTGAGTTTAAAATTGAGTCACTGAAATATTTATGTTTTAAGAAGCATGTCATTTATATTTACTTTTTCAGTTGAATAATGTTAACTCATTTTGCCTTGAACAGAAGTGATAAATAACTTGGATCTAAGTAATTTACTTCTTTATAACTGCCAAAAAAAAAAAAAAAGATGCTACATTAGCTAGCATACTGCAGAAGGTAGCTTTCCCTGCTTAAGAGGCATGTGGTACATTGGGAATGGTAGAGTGCTGGGGAGGAAGGGGACAACTGACAGACCTTTTTGGGAGTCTGCTATAGAGTCAAGTAGAGCTCCCTTTAAAAGGTTTAGGGGAGGGCCTGGTGCAGTGGCCCACTCCTGTAATCCTACGGATCTTGAGTTCAAAGCCAGCCTCAGCAATTTAGTGAGGCCCTAAGCAACTCAGCGAGACTCTGTCTCTAAATAAAATACAAAATAGGGCTAGGGGATGTGGCTTAGTGGTTAAGCATCTCTGGGTTCAATCCCCACTACTAAATA